TGTTCAAGCGAGGTTTAGTGAAGAAGATGATGCCTTAGTGTCTGGGCTTGTCCAGCGTAAAGGAGGGCGGTGCCGCCCGGAGGGTGGCAATCCCTGCGGGCAGAAGAGAGGTGGTGTTTGAGAAGTTCCGAATTTTAGTAGTCCCAGAAACTGTCCCAGGTGTGAATATGTGTTGCTATGCAGCTGCAAAATAGGCTTTTTAACTGTAGACGTCCTTATTTTGAACTTCCAGTACACCATGGGACACCTACATGGGCTCGAGAGACGTAGGGTTGCAGATAAGGATAGTTCAGTCGAGCCAGTGCATGTGGAGGGCACACGCTCTCTTGTGTATTTTGGGCTTTTCCAACAGCATGGAGTTAGGACCGAGTTTTTTGCTCGACTTGCCTTTCACAAGGCCTGAGCGTAGCGAGAAGCCTGCGCCATTGTCACTGGGAAGGGTGTCAGCTACAGAACAGCCAAATGTCGCCGCGTCTCAGCCATATATAGAGCGTACGAGCTCTATACCCTCAAGAACGCATTTGAACCGGACTAAGCCCTCCTCGGCTTTATTGTGGCCCGCGGTCGCGGTCTTTGTGGGAGTCACATTGCTATGCTTTTCACTCTGTGGCGGTGTCCGGAGCATCCATAGCGGTACGGCTGTGCGGAAACTTGCAGCCCGTGGTAGCGGAGAAGAATCGAGGTCTGGCAGAAACCCCTTCTTTGGCGAGGAGGAGTGGATTCCACTCGATGCGGATGAGCTCGCGGTGCTGTNCTGGCAGAAACCCCTTCTTTGGCGAGGAGGAGTGGATTCCACTCGATGCGGATGAGCTCGCGGTGCTGTGCCTTGAATTGGGGGGATGGGCACCTACGACAGACCCTCAGAGCGTTTTAAGCTCTTCGATTCGGATGCCACCAGTAGTTTCAACTTCAAGGGGGCATGCGGGAACGTATATGTTGCAAGGTTTACAGACTCCCAGTGATCTGTCTGGGGCGTCGTCAAGGGAGAAATGGCACCGAGCGGCCGGGCAGTACAGAGGCCAGCGTATTTCGCATGGGGATTCTGATGGGTGGGGGCCGAGTCCTAGCAAGGTACAAAGACGTTCATGTGATAGCTCTGAACAGACAGGTGCCGTGACAGGTGCTGTCACTGAGAGCAGCGCTGAGCAGAGACTTGCACAGGCAGTTCAGCAAACTACTGGCACGCCCTCTGCGGATGACAAGCTGCTAGAGTCTCAAGGGGTGCCCACCCCATTTGCTCACGAGAAAAATCTAACGGCTTCGACCGGGGATATCCAAGGTGTACAGCAAACGCAGTTCTCTGTACGGTCAGTATTGCAGCAGTCGCCAACTACCCCTCCGGAGACCTCCACTGCTCCGCCTACAGGAAGCGCCACCCGTACTGTAACCGCCTTGGCAGACTCCGAAGAGGCATCGGCTTCCGAGGGCGTGTGGGTGCCTGGGGGTCAAAGCGGTTCATTCGCCTCTGCGGGGCCGGCCCCAAATGGCTCTGGCGAAGCCTCAGCAGGATCAGCAGCATTGGCAGTTGTCCAGATGTTATCGGGGCCAGAGGGTGAAAGCGGCCCGCGTAAGCATCCTTTCGTTCGAGTGCCGGTGTTAATGCCGTATGTGAGAGTTGCAGATATAAGCGATAAAACTCCCGAACGTGGGACTTCAGGTGGACCCATAGCTGTTATCCTTAGGGATGTCAGAAACTTGTGTCTGAAACCGGCGCTCCACATATGTGAGGCAAATGAGCTGGTGAGTGCAGCAATTAGGNCCTCTATTGCCACAGAGTCTTTAGGGCGTCGGTTCTTGGTGTTCAACGTATTCCATACAGTTTTGAAGCTTACAGGAGACAGCAAACCGCGCTTGATGAAATTGTGGCAGGACCTTATTGCAAATGTTCCAACGGTGTATGCTCAGCCTTCTCGGAACATCTCCAGCAAGAGGCACAGGTTCCAGCATGAGTTGTCACATCAGCTAAGCGCAGCACTGGAATCATACAAGAACGGGTCTTCGCCCTCAGAGGACGAAATACTTGATATAAAGCGCAAGCTGTTTTGCATGGAATTCTCGCCCCGATGCTTCCTCCGCGAGTCGTGGAATCTGTGGAGACAGGACGACAAGGAATTTAGAGGCGCTTCGTGAATTCCGGGGTCTTGGATTTCCTCGATCCATTGGAGGGGTGCGCTGACCGAACTTAGTGGGAAGCAGCAGGGGGACTGTATTACCGGACTGCAGTGCGGGTTGGCGAAGTACCCGCAATTCTTCCATTGAGTGGACCCTCGGCGCATCGGTGGGTATCGCGATACACACATCTCTGAAGACTAGGATGGACTTGGGTCTACCTGGTGCAGTTGAACTACATCTCTTTCCTGCGCGGAATTAAACTACTCGATCTTGTCAGGAAAACGGAGGTGTAGAAGGGGATCTGTATTTGAGGCCCACGCTTAAATGCTCAGCAGACTTATATGCTCAACCTGGTGATAGTCGGCCTAGTGGCTGATTGCAGATGCAGAGCTTGTGGTGGTGTCCGTTCGTGCTCTCGCGTTGTCCACTGTCGACTGTTTCTGTTGCGCGGATCGGTGCCACTGCATTCTGCACTGTACCTGGTGCGCGTGCAAACACTTGGAGTGTTATTCGTTCCACAGGGCGAGTTAATGGTGAGTACGGCGGCAGTGGCATGCAACACTACTGGTTATGTATGCACTGTTTTCGATTGTTCGCGGTCGGTNTCAACGCGCGCTTGCTAGTGCGCGTCTGAGTATTAGATGTCGAGGAAGCCTTCGCTCAGGAAGGCGCGAGGCGTTCTTGTTTGCCCACCACCGAGGCTCGCTGATGCGTGCTAATCATGACGAACGGTTAGAAGGCATGATGGCCCGCTTTTGCTGCAGATTCTGCAGCGGCGTGTGCCAGAACCACACAGTGTCTGCCCCCAAGAATCGTGAATTTCCTATCGGTCGGAAGGGGCTGAGTCTTTCATGTTGCGTCTGTCAAGCTGAACAACGCTCCGCGGTGGAAGCGCAGCAGATACTGAAGCAGAGAGGTGAGTACGATCCGTCTATTCGTTTTACTCTCCCTCATATTGGCGTCTGTGCGGGTTTCGGCAGTTTCATTCGCTGCTTGCTGCTGCTTTTGTTTTTGGCAGACACCCGCAGCGGCTCATGCACAGGGACATCGTAGCCACTGAAGGAACGCGGGAACAACAGCGAGCTCAGGGAAACGTGCGGCAGCGGGGTGACGGTGCAGCCGCTGCCTGGCAGGCGTTTGAACTACGGTTTCAGCATTAAGAACATGCGTCTACCAGTTGGGCCTTCTGGGGGTCAGTTTCTCGTGTATTGTGGCTGTATAACGCTTTAAACGAGTGGAGCCTGCGGTTCGGCGATAGATCAGCACGCCTTACAACGTTGCGAGCGGGCAGTTACTGTATTTTACTCTCCGTTGCTACCACCCTCTCCCACCGGTTCTGGTTGGCTTCTTTCTTTCACAGCGGTTTGCGTTGCAACTAGGGAAACGTGTCGAGTTTCGTTGCTGCTGAGGTGCTCATTTTCTACGGTTTTGCATGTTCTTAGCTGTAAAGGTGACGACGGCGTGGCGAACCGGCGGTAGTCTCCGTGGAGCTATTCTCGGACAACATTGGAACGGAGCTTCCGTCCCTCCCCAGTGGCTTTCTGAGCTACCAATTGATCAGCTCGTTGCACTTTTCCGCTGCATATGTACGTGTTGATGATGGCAGAAAGGGTGGCAGAGGAAGTTGGCGTAACGGCGAAAGGTTCTGAAATTTACCTTGCCGGTCGCAGCTGCAGCACGCTGCGCAAACAGTTCAAACAGCAGGGCCACCAACCGGTATCGATTACTGCATTGCGGCGCTGCAGCATGTGGGATACGAATGGGGATGCATTACTGACATGATGCCTACGAGCGGGCATCTGCGGTCTTTCAGTTTTGAGACGTCCTTCTGCCAATCTGTGGCAGACGTCTCACGTTAATGTTGCATAGCCAACAAACAGATCAAGCTAATCAAAAAATCGATATATATATATATATATATATATATATATATATATATATATATATATATATATATATATATATATATATATGCAGAACAGTAGATTGAGGCAGAGTACCTCGCTGCATTAATGCCTAGCGAGCAGCTGCGTCTCACAGGGCAACTCGCCCTGGAAGCACAGTGCACCCAAAGGGCGTCTGCGAGGTTTCCTGGCAACTGAAGACGAGCATTACCACCTGTGGCGCGAGGAACACAACGGTGCAGACAGGCAAGGGCAAGAACTATGCGATCATAAAATCCTCATGGAGGATTCACCTGCTCTATTGCTGCATTGCCATGTTGTCACTGATCGGGCAACGGTGCAGCAGCGTCTGTGCGATGACCGGGTGCATCTATACTTGCGTGCAGATACGCAACGGAACGCCAATCACGTAGCAGGTTTTGACTACAGCGCTAGTGCGTGCATCACGAAGGCTTCGGATCAGCCTTGCATTGGGGATTGTTGTGGGGCCAGATGTTCAGCAGGAGGTGATGCGACTCAAAAAGACTGCCTTCTCTCACCACCTCA